AAACGTTGCATCCAAACCTTTCAATAACAAGTTATTGATGTCTAGCAATGATAACACAAGCATTTTCCACTATGTATTATATAACAATTGAAGTAAATTGAAAAACTAACATACTGCATAAGCATAAAAAAATCAATTTTCTCCAAATACCTGGATACCTATATTTTTTAATCCTAAAATATATTTGCTGATCAATTTTCAATTAGAAAATGCATATCTGGTGTTTTTATTCGCATTTGCTGAAAATATATTGGTGAGATTTGATCATTTTCCCTATAATTATAATATGATTAACTTTAATGATGAACTTTGAAGAAAAACCATTGGTAAATTCACGTTACTCTTTGAAATCAGGGACATTTTTGTGAGCATTTTCAATTACTTAAAAGCTGATTTTCAGAACCTGAGGATCGGACTACCTTAGATTTGCAAAGTGACTTATGAATTTTAATTCATTAAATCATATGGAGCATTTTTATTGATCCTTTCACCAAATGCTTTTTTCCCAAATATTGATTTCTTTATTTTATTTATGAAAATGATACTTTTTACATTGGCTTCTATATTAAATTAATTACGCTATATCCATCCATTTTGAGATAATTTTGAATTTTTTTTTTTTTTTTTTTTTTTTTTTTTTTTTTTAAGCATCGAATACCTTAAAGAATGATTTAGGAAAAAAAATTAAGTATCAACATCAGCAGTGAAATGTCTTATAAAAATTTTTGGTAGAAATAATTGAGATGGTATTAAGAAAATAAGGTCGTTTTTAGGAAAATAAATCGAAAAGTTGCGCACGTTTTGTACGTGTTGCTCTATGATCTCCCAATTGATTTTTTTTTCTACCGAGGTCTGCAGCTAGTTGTAAACATATATATTAGAAAGCAATTTAGTTTTAATGTTTATTTTTTTAACAATTATATTATATCATAATTAATATAAATTGAAATAGATATGAAATATCCGACTAAAGTAATACTCATTATAATTTAATTTAAGCAGTTTAATTACATTCCCAAAAACTACAAAGAACTTTTTGAAAATTTGATATCACATCTTTTTTTTTAGATTTACAGCATCAAACGTACGACTTGTCAACACTATGATACACAACATTTCTCCTGATACATTAAAGAAAAGACTTTTTGACACCATAGGCTACGGATTCTTCAATAAAAATGGAAATCTAAAATCTTTATTTCTTTTTATTGGTCATCTACAAAATTACTGTGTTAAAAAATAATTCTGATTCTACATAAAAGTATTCTGAAGTTGATATGAAAAAGATGCTAAAGTTCCTCAACGGCAATAGTATTGTCATCTTCCAACAATCTGTTGGAGTTTCCATGGAAACAAATAGTGCTCCTTTATTATCTAACTTGTTTTTGTATTATTTTGAAGTAGAATTTATTCAAGAACTTCCACATGATAAGATAAAGCCTCTAGCTGAGGCCTTCTATTCGACACTTTATTAAATATATCAACGATGTTTCATCAATTGATAATTTCTACTCAATATTCATGTATCTCGTAAACTTGAAATAAGACACCACAGAATCTGCCAAATCGGCTCCACATTTGGTTGCTTTAATGAATAAAGACCTTACTGGAAACTTAGTAAACTATATAATAAACATGAAGACAAGACATACTTCTGACAAATAAGTTGATGCGACAGACTTTCAACAATTTCTTTTGTCCTGAACAATAGCAAATTTTGTATGATTGTAAAATGATATTGTTTGCAAATTCTTAAGTAGAATTTTGACAGACGTTTCATACAATTGTGAAGTCATTGTTTTAATACTAGTCCTTAACAGGGATTGCTCTGTTTAACTGACCAATGCAGAGTGAAGATGGCGGTTGTAAATTGGACATCAATTGTCAAGGTACTCTTACTTTTTTTAAGCACCTGCTGGTGTTCTTTGGGTCCGTAGTTTTGCCCTTTCCCGATCTGCATTGTTTAAAACATAAGTGAGATTGATCACTGTTCATAACCCTTACCCTTTTCATCTAAAAACGCAGTATTTTTTCTCAGTTTGAATAGATGCAACACAGGTCAAGCTTGCGCCAAATTGCAAACTTGTCACATCTTTGCTAGCCAAGGGTTTCTGATCCGCACCGCTTAGAGGCGCTTGGCAGAAACCCTTGGCTAGCAAAGATGAACATGTCAATATAACGCTGTTGCCAAATTAAGTCAAATTGAAGCTTTTAGCAAATCATTATAAATGTAAGTCTCTTATTACAAAATATTATGGTCTCGTTATTCTCCTTTGTCGCTGTAGCATTTGATATTTACACGCTTCCCATTTTGAATGAGAAAATTGTTTTCCATCCAACAGGTTGGTTGACATTTTTATTATATACACGTATATAGTGTTTTGGTTTCCTTGTATTATTGATCTTCATTTACAGCCTCCTAGCATTTCATGATTTTTTATGCCCCCGTATCAAAGATTCGGGGGTATATAGTTTTTGCCCTGTCCGTCCGTCTGTCTATCTAGCTGTTTGTCCGCAAAAACTTTAACATTGCTCATAACTTTTGTTTGGTTGGAGCTATGGCTTTCATATTTCACATGTGTATTGCTTGTGACAAGACCTTTCTTTGCGTACCATCATATTTGAACTTGGAGTTTGACCCAGTTTAACAAAATTTTACCCAACATTAACCTTGGCCATAACTATTGAACAGTTGGTGCTAGGGCTTTCATACTTCACACGTGTAATCCTTGTAACAAGACCTTTCTTTGGATACCAAAAGATTTGACCTTTGACCTTGACCTAGGAGTTTGATCTACTTTTGAAAAACTTTAACCTTGGCCATAACGTTTGAACGATGGTGTGAGTGCTTTCATACTTCATATGTGTAATCCTTGTGACAATTGACCTTCCTTTGGATACCAACAACTTTGACCCTTTGACTTGACCTAAGAGTTTGACCTACTTTTGAAAAATTTTAACCATGGCCATAACTTTTGAACAGTTGGTCTAGGGCTTTCATACTTCACATATGTGATCTTTGTGACAAGACCTTACTTTGGATACCAACAACTTTGACCTTGACCTTGGAGTTTGACCTACTTTTAAAAATCTAACATTTTCCATATTTTTTGAATGGTTGGTGCTAGGTCTTTCACATTTCACATGTGTATTTCTTGTGAGAAGGCCTTTCCTTTAGCACCATTAATTTTGACCTTGACCTTGATGTTTGATTACTTTTGAAAAACTTTAACCTTTTCGATATCTTTTCAATAGTTGCTGCTAGGGCTTTCATATTTCACAGGTATAATTCTCGGGACAAGACCTTACTTTGGGTACCAACATATTTAATTTGCATTTGGGAAAGTTTAACCTTCGCTATAAGTTACCACACGGGGGCATCAGTGTTTCACAAACACATCTTGTTTCAAACAGGAAATATAATACCTTAAAAACAATTTCCAAAACGATTATAATTACATGAAAAGTCTGTGTCATTCACCCGGGATGGAATACACTAGCTTTTTCAATCAAACTGATTTGATGTTTCTTCTTCATACAAGATTTATCATTCCATTGACAAAGGAGAGCAGCCAGAATTTCAAAGATGGGGCATGTATAAAGGACATGGATTAATTGCACTTTAATGGACGAGATGTGGATATCTGCATAATTAAGTAACTAGCATTTATTGACTACATTCCTTTGTGGTCTCTGGGTTTTCTTGGAAATTTTACTTGCAGTTTAAATAAAAATTGCTTGTATCTCTACTTTTTTTTTGCAACATACAATGGATAGATCATAAATACTTGTTCTTTCGGTTCTAATGAAGAAAAAAAATTACCCCAGGTCATTTTTTACAGGGGATCATTATTCGTCTTTCCACCAGTCCAATATCAAATTTATTGGACCTATTTACTTTTCATATTTTGATATTTTTTTTTTTATCTCTATTATTTGTATGCATGAAAAAGTTATAAGGATTTAACAAACAATTACATGTAATTTTTAAGCAATTTCATCATGGGATTATCTTGAGATAATTGTTGATTAAGCTGCATTCCTTTTTTGTGAATACATATTTTGTTGTTTTCACGTTCAGAAATTAACCTTTTTTTATTTTAATTCTTTATATTAAAAATTATTTGTCAATTAACAATGAATTTATTATGTCACATATGGTATTTGAATCGTCGCAATGATGATTTCTTTAATGAATACATTCATTTATTTATATACTTCACGATTTGTATGCTAAATTGTATAACAATGAGATTTTTTCGTGCAAGGATTTTTTGTTCTATGCCTCTGATGATTCTGATTCAAGATTCTTTGAAGTCTTCGGAATCAATTTTCAATTAGATAATGCATAATTGGAACTTTTATTCACATTTCCTAAAAATATATTAGATATTTAATAATACTTTCTATATAATATGAATAATGATAATGATGAACTTTGAAGAAATAATATGGATAAATAGACATTACTTTGTAATTTTTGTGACATTTTTGTGAATATGTTCAATATAACTGAACTGCTGATTTTCAGAACCTGAGGAATGAATTCCCTTAAATATATATTCAATATTTGAAACAACCATTATGAGCTACCATACTAAGACTGAATTCCAAAACTTCAAAGATCCTTACAAACATAGATACATTACGGGATTCTAGTAATTTTTCTACAGAGCCTGTTTAATTACTTCTTAGGAAAATACTGACAGCAGCGAAGGAGAAACTTTCACTGTGCAACAATATATTTGAGAAATGGTGTTAACCAAACGAGAATGTTAAAACACTTCAAAGAACTTTAAGAATATACTAGCATTTGAAATCTTAAAATGTTGCCAAAATCAAAACATGTGACTTTTCAACATTTTATTTTACCAAATCTTCATGATAAATTAAAGATTAGTTTATTGAGTTCATAAACAGCTGCTTCTTCAACGAAAAAAAATCATATCATTTTATTTGAACATCTACAAACTTGTTAAAATCATTGATTCTACATATTACTATCCTGAAATTGATAATAAAAAGATGCTCGAGTTCCTCTTTGACACTAATTGTGTCCCTTTGTCAGCAGAATTATGAAGGAGAATATAATATTTTCTAGGAAGGAACTATTCCAAATCCGAATATTTGATCAAGATCATCTAAAAATCTTGCGGCCATCGTTTTTAAAGTTTCTGGTACTTTGCTTCTCCTTGCAGCGAAGAACTTCATCTTTTTGTAGTAGCCCTCTGGAATGGTGAAGTTTATTTGTTTTGTTTTGAAATCCTCCATCTTCTTCCGGAGGTCTTCCTCCATTACCATCCAATACAGACGCAATGCTACCTTGTTGACGCGAGGGTCGTTGTCTCCAGACGGCCGCAGACTTCTGAGTGCCTCTTTCTCAAAGCCACTGACGTGGATTAATGGGGTATCCATATCATACTTTTTATATATATCTTTTAGAACAATGTCGTATATCTTCTCCAGTATTTGTTTTGACTTTTTTCGTATTCCTTCATTTGGGTGCCTTTGGTAGTTTCTTAAGCGAGCTCCTGAACGCCACCTTACATAGAACGCTTCTCCCTCTGCCTCGAGTTTTTCGTTCATTTCTTGTAGTTCTTTCATGATTTGTTCTGTTTTTAAGCGACTCATCAATGGAGACAGCATTTCTGCTTCCGTAAAATCCATTTTTTGGATTGCTCTGTACTCATCTCCTTCGTCTTCAAAATTTGAAATTTTGGTATTTTCTGAACAGGTGGAACTTATGTTGGCCACTATCCTCTTCACTGTACTTTCTATTCTTTTTTCTCTTCCAGCTTTTATGATTGGATCAATTAAATAATTAATTTCTTCACAGACTCTCTCTTGAAATTTGCTCATCAGACCATTGCTTTCCAGATACCTGAAATACCGTGTTACTCATTTAATAACATATATAAGTATTTGTTTTACTCCAAATTTAGGGTATAAAACAAGGATTACATCCTTTTTGAATTCAATATATTTACTCTCTCTGGTTTTCATAAACCTCTGGAATTATAGAGGTGACATCACCAGCAGCATACATTATCATTTCTTCTGTCATTGGTCTTTGTGCCCAGAAATCCGCAGTTCTTTTTATCCATTCAGCCTATCAATTGTTACAATTCATATTGCTTAATATTTATATTTGCCAATATTTTCTCTTATATAACACAATCTGAACAAAACGTATTTAATTTAGTGTATAATCAGGTTTTTCACCCAACCATAAATTCATTGTTTAATCATAATCGATCGACGTCATTTCATAGTAATGTCGGCAATATTTCAGTCACATTTCGGCGGAAAATTAAGTTTATTAAACCGGTTTTTGGTTTCTCTGGCAGCCCCCAGTGAGCTTACTCTTTTTCGAAATCCAGAGAAACGATTTTTTTTACATGCCAAGGGGGTTGTATCCTTGACACGGTGTTTGAGGTTTGAAAACAATAAATCATTTCATTGGTTTTGTTTGAGGTTCGAAAACAATGACTCATTTCATTGGTTTTATGGGTTTAAACCTATATTACTCAAATATTTGTTATAAACCTGTCAAAAATGAAAATGTCAGTTTTAAACCCTTAGGCTTTATGGGATTTGATCACATGACCAAACCATATTTACATCCCGGTGAAAGTTTAAAAATGGTACCTTATTTCTAAAATAATCCTAAAACAATTTTTTATATACCCATAATCAGTAATTGAGACATAAAGTATGTTTTGTTTCTGGTTGTAAAGCAAACAGCAGCCAATTCATAATTTTTCTTACACGAATATCTTCTTTGTATTCAGATACGCCTTTCTTTCCAGAATATTTCTTGCAGATGTCATCTAGTTTGAGTGGAGGAGCTAGTTGTCTTCCTTTGTGCTCTTCAATTAAAAGGTGTGCAGCCTTCAATCAAAGGAAAACAGTAAGCTACTTATATTAATGAATCACAGCATAACCGTCCATGTATATTACATGTAATCATTAGGATATCATTCAAAATTTATTAATGAAATTCACTGTACCTGAGTGTCGAATACATTTCGAAGCGTAACATTAAACTGGAAATGCAATGCAGCGCTGTCATTGGAGCAGGATTGCATTACCTTCAAAATGCAATACTTAATATGGTAAACTCAGTAAGCCTCTTTTTCAGTAAATAAATAGATTATATCTAGTTTCGTTAAATTCTACATGCATGAGATAAATTCTGACAAACATTTGTGTCGGTTTGTTTATATATTAAATATTTTGTCCGTCAGTATATTTGGTCATATCCATTAGAATTAGAATACGGGAGATAAAAACCAACATTTATACATAATTAAGAAATGAATTTGATAGCTACCCAATTTGTACTGCAGAAACTAGTTTGGAAATGTATCCACTTTTTTAGCTCACCTTAGCCGAAAGGTCAAGTGAGCTTTTCTGATCGGCTTCCGTCCGTCTGTCTGTCTCTGTATGGAAACTTTTCACATTTAAGACTTATTCTGAAGAACATCTGGACCAATTTCAACCAAAATTGCTACAAAGTACCTTTGGATGAAAGAAATTCTAGTTTGTTCAAATGAAGGGTCATGCAAACTTCCAAGGGGAGATGATTATGAATTAGTGAAAAATTTACAAACTCTTTAATATATATATATATATATATATATATATATATATATATATATATATATATATATATATATATATATATATATATATATATATATATATATATTGAACGGATCTTTCCCACCAGAATTTTTTATGTTAAAATTTTTGTTAGTTTTTCGGTTTCATCCAACTTTTTTTTTCATCTTTTGATTTTAACCCTATTATATTTTTTTTATTTTCAGATTTTGGAAGAAATCCAACCGACTCTTCTCAAGAAAACGCTGTTTTAGTTTTTCTTTGTCTTTTTTGTACATTCAAATAAAAATATATAGAATTCAGTCAGGGCTTTGTTAGTTTTCATTTTAATGTTTTATAACATTGGATTTTTAAAGAGGTTTAGAACATTAGGCTTTTAAAAACATGAAAATAAGTGGTTTCATCAAAACGAATTTTTACTTTATTTGATATTGAGCTCATTCTTAGAAACAAAAGCTTGCAACAAAAATCACTTTTACGTCATAGATGTATATTGATTGATTGATTGTATGTTTTTTTACGTTTCATTGGAGAATTTTTCACTCATATAGAGACATCACCATATATCGGTGAAGGGCTTCAAATTTTGACCTTTAATCGGCACTTAGGGCCATTAAACAGTGAGAGATCTTTATCGTGCCAACGCCTGCCGTGACACGGGGTCTCGGTTTTTAAGGTCTCATCCGAATGACCCGTAACTTTCACTTCAAAGTGCCGAGCGCATAGCGATAGAACAGTTGCTACCCATATTTTTTATCGACTTAGGTCAGTCGTCACCGAAATTCGAACCCACGACCTCCCGATCACGGAGCGAGCGCTCTACCGACTGAGCTACCGTGAACGGTTCATAAATGTAGAGATCCTCCTTAAAAACACAACGTTTGGTCTCAATCAAGGCATTGTATTTCAGACAAATTTATCTACTTTATTCTGTACCTTAACAATGTCTTTCGATTCCATTATATACCCTAGTCGCCCTTTTTTCAGAAGTTCCCTGTTTGCATGGATATCAAAAAGATACACCTCCCCAGAGTAGGTTCCAACTTGTACCAGAGTCAAGGGGCCATCTACACCCAGCTGTATCCCTTCGCAGTCTATTGCCAAGACCTGTTCAAGTGATAATGTTTCTACCACTTGACGACAACGACAGATGTCTTCAATCACTTCCGGTAACATGTTCAGCGTGAGATGCCCGGTAACATGTTCAGCGTGAGATGCCGACCAAAATGAAATACTATAATGTATAAATAACAAGAGGCCCATGGGCCTTACAGGTCACCTGAGTATCATGTAACAACTTTCCAACAATTGAATTTGGTTCGTTTTTTAAATCAAAGGCCATGAAATTCACGATTTTGAAAGAGGCACCATTGCTCATCATAACTATACACTTAGCATGCTTATTTTGATTACTTAATTCCCAGAGTCAGAGCAGAGGAACAAAGAAAAATGCGTCTCCACTATATAATCAGTAGTGCACCAACCCACAGGAACCCCTGACCCTAGGGCCACACATTTCACAGTTTAGGAAAAGACACCCTTGCTCATAATAAATGTTTGTTTAATACCAAAGAGCAGATTTTAACGCATTTATTCATTTTCAGTATATATAATCATTAGAGCCCCTCCCCGGTACCCCTGGCCCATGGGGTTGAAATTCACAATTCTGGAAGAAGCACCCTTCCTCATCATAAATATGTCTTTAGATCATCGACATAATATCCAGATGCAGAGGAGAAGATTTTCAAAGAACTAATGTATTTTCACTATACGAGGGTCATTCAAAAAATACGTAGACAATTTTCCTCCTCCTCATATTATTTTTACAAGGTTAAAGATCAACACATTTTCAAATGTAAAAACATTTATTTTATCGATGTGTGAAGTTTCATTCTATTTGATTAAATGGAAGTCATGTTAGCCAATTTTAAAAGCATCATGTTTTATCGCCACGGAGCACGGTTAAAAACATTGTAACGTCAAAAACAACGTCGAGAAAGTTTCGCAAAACTTACTCTGCCTTTTTTTTTTTATTACGTATTGGTAGCAACTTCCCCATTCATAAAAAACGTATCCATAACACTTGACACCTAGTTTGCTAATAATTATTCGAGTACCGTAAGTTAGATTGTCATTGTTTTCAAATTCTTTACCGCGTAACTATGCTTTCACAAGTTCCGCGACAGTAAAGCGCACATCACGTTTCGTGACGTAACAAACTCTTTTGACAAGATTTTAAACTATAATCTGTTTCTTCGCAGACCATACATCGTCCGATTCAAAGTCTCTCCCACTCAAAAATTGTCTTTTCCATTATATACAAATGCACGGCTCATTTTTAATATATTTCCTGGTTCCTCCAGCACTTTCAAAGTTTGTTTTAGAGGTTTCCCGAATGCCAAAAAAACCCCTTTTTTTTGCTACTCGTTGCCCCGTGATGTCCTTCAACGTCATTGTTTTTTGCTTTTTTTAAACCCAGTCTATCTGTCTTTTAAAATCGATATCTTTAAATCGAAGCGATTTATTACATTACCTTTTAGCATCTGAAGTAATAAAACAATACTTAATTTAAACATTTAAATTTTATTTCATTTAAGTGCCTTTTATTAGAGGTATGGCTATAAACATTGGAAGGGTATAATTAGTAAATAACTCAATTTTGACCCTGCTCCGTGACCCCGTTTTTGCTGTCTCAAATCTTTGATAATTTTGATAAACATCAAAATATATTCCAATTTTATAACGCAAAATATTTGAATCTGTTGTTAAAATATGTGTACCAAAATAGAGCCTTATCCTTAAACCAGAACCCCTGACCCAGAGGCCATGGAATTCACAATTTTAGAAAAGGCATCCTTCCTCATCATAACTATGTACATAGTTCATTAGTTTAATACCCAGGAGCAGAGGAGAAGATTTTCAAAGAATTAATGCATTTTCACTATGTAATCAATACAGTCCTATCCTAAAACCAGAACCCCCGACCCAGGGGCCATGAAATTAACAATTTTGGAAGAAACATGCTTGCTCAACACAACTATGCATTTAGTTTGTTTGCTTAATACCCAGAAACAGAGGAGAAGGTTTTTTTTTAAATAATGCATTTTCACTAGGGATGTCAATTTTTTCAATAATTCATATTCGAATATTTCAATGAAAGTATTCGAATATTCGATAAAATAAATAAAATCTGTTTTATTTTAAATATGCATCATCCTACTCTCGTAGGTATACTTATATAGGAAGTAAAATTGTATGAAGACTTTTGTAGGTGTACAATAAGAAATTCCATTTGATATTTGTCAATGTTTGAAATAAATAATTGATTTAAATGTAGAAAAGTATAATTTTAACAAATGAAACGTGTATTTATAGTAGCCCCACCTGAGGAACCAGTCGTCTCACAAAAGGCAAGATAGCCGTAACGGTATACTGTTCAGATTTCAATACGTGTAATAAATTACAATTATCTGCCTGATAAGAGATATGATTATAATCTTTGATACAATGTAAGCAAATATTTCCATAGACAATTTTCCTACGTAATTAACTGTTTTCCCGATAATGAATATAAATTATGTACAACCCGAGATAATCAAGTAATTTACAAATTTATTCTGAAATTAAGCCCTTTAAAATATTAATTACAGATTAATTCTATCGGACATTGATTCAATGATCAATTAATTTTATTTCGATAAGTATACTCTTCACGTCTTTTAGTTTTTCTTAGATTTCATTTGTTGTCCTCGATTCTAGATCCGATTGTATCTATAACTAATAAAAGCTATGAAAGTACGTTTTGTATTATACATAAAGCATTATTGTACAATTCTTTACAACACCTTACTCAAAACCAAATACATGTAATTTAGAAGATTTATAAGATAAGAAAGTAGTGAAAGAAAATTGATCGCTTTTAAATTAAACAGGGATAATCCCAGCACTGTTCTAATCAAAATTTATTATTCACAGTACTTCTTTTAATGAAATCTGAAAAACACCGAATATTCGAATCTTAAATTCATATTCGAATATCAACTCATCGAATGAATATTCGAATGTTCGAATATTCGTTGCCATCCCTAATTTTCACCATATATTCAACAGAGCCTCACCCTTGCACCAGAACCCCTGACCCTGGGGCCATGAATTTCAAACTTTTGGTAGGGGGATCAATGCTTATTACAATCATGCCAACAGTTTGTCTGCTTGATGTCCTGGAGTAAAGAAGAAGATTTTTAAACTTTTAAACATTGCATTTATTTTGATGGTTTTAGCTCCATCCCTCAGTCCCTAAAGGGGAGGAGGGGGCAGAGGTCATAAATTTCACAATTTTTACTCCCCTTTACCCATAGATGCTATATGCCAAAACTGGTTGAAATTGGTTCAGTGGTTTCAGATAAGAAGCTAAAAATGCTTAAATGTTAATGCACGACGGACGACGCACGCCGACGGACGAAAGCAGATAGCATTAGGTCACCTGAGTAAACTCAGGTGACCTGAAAAGTTAATATTAAGTCACTTGAAATATGACATAGGATATATAAACTATACATGGGGTGATATTAAAATTCGCAAAATATCTCTGCGTCTACATAACCACAATTTAGATCACAATAAAATTTGGCATGCATATACATGTAGTTATAAACGAGTTCTACAAATAGCACGTGTATCGTAATATTATGCTCCTTAATTATCACGTCACGTGAAAATGTCTTTAATATGTAGATGGCACATGACAAGAAATGGTTCACTAAGGAAGGGCTGTAATTTTTTATGCCCCCGTATCGAAGATTCAGGGGTATATAGTTTTTGCCCTGTCCGTCCGTCTGTCTGTCTGTGTGTGTCCGCAAAACCTTTAACCTTGCTGACAAGACCTTTCTTTGGATACTTTCTCAAATGCAAATCAAATACTTTGGTACCCAAAGTAAGGTCTTGTCCCGAGGAACATACCTGTGAAATATGAAAGCCCTAGCAACAACCATTGAAAATATATGGAAAAGGTTAAAGTCTTTCAAAAGTAAGACAATTATTAAGGTCAAATGGTCAAAATTAATTGTGCCCAAGAAAAGGCCTTCTCACAAGAAATACACATGTGAAATATGAAATCTCTAGTACCAAACGTTCGAAAGATATGGCCAAAGTTTTTCAAAAGTAAGTCAAACTCCAAGGTCAAGGTCAATGGGCTATAATTGTTGGTATCGAAAGGAAGACCTTGTCACAAGGATTACACATGTGAAGAATGAAAGCCTTGCACCAACTGTTCAAAAGTTATGGCCAAGGTTAGAGTTTTCCAAAAGTAGGTACAACTCCAAGGTCAAAGTCAAAGGGTCAAAGTTGTTGGTCTCCAAAGGAAGGTCTTGTCACAAGAATCACATAAGTGAAGTATGAAAGCTCTAGCACCAACCGTTCAAAAGTTATTACCAAGGTTAAAGTTTTTCAAAAATAGGTCAAACTCTTAGGTCAAGGTCAAAGGGTCAAAGTTGTTGGTCTCCTAAGAAAGGTCTTGTCTTAAGGATTACATATGTGAAGTATGAAAGCCCTAGCTCCAATTGTTTAAAAGTTATGGCCAAGGTTAAATTTGGGTAAAATTTTGTAAACCTGGGTCAAACCCCAAGGTCAAGGTCAAATTTGATGGTACCCAAAGGAAGGTCATGTCGCAAGGAATACACATGTGAAATATGAAAGTCACAGCCCCAATCAAAAGTTATGAGCAATGTTGAAGTTATTGCGGACAAAAAGACAGACAGACAAAAAAACGGACGGGGCAAAAACTATATACCTCCGAATCTTCGATACGGGGGCATAAAAATAACATGCTTGATTGGAAATATAAGACTAAGCAAATCTTTGGGCTGCGGTGAACAGAACGTTACGGAGCATGTCACGTGACCGCCTGGACAATGGCAGAACGGTGGCATATGTGTATTAAACACAGAAACTCCTGCTTTAAAACAAGATGTGTTTGTGAAACACTGATACCCCCGTATGGCAGCTCATGGCGAAGGTTCAAGTTTTTCAAATGCAAGTCAAACGCCAGGTCAAGAGATAAAAAATGTTGGTACAGAAAGGTTTTGTCTAGAGGAATATAACTGTGAAATTCGAAAGCGCTAGCACCAATTATTCAAAAGTTATGGCGAAGGTTAAAGTTTTTTTTAAAAAATAAGTAA